GGAACAAGCCGAGGAGATCATGTGCAGCTGGCCCAGGCTTTGTTGAAAATGTTAGGCCACTATCCCTGGATCCTCAAAGGATCTAGCATGTAGGTGGAAACTGGGACAGTGGAGTATGTTGTCTACTCCAGTTTCTCACAGTTTCTAATCTTGTGCAGTGCAACGTCTCTAAAACTGCTCATGCTCCGTCACTGGCTGACTGAGTAGAATTTATTGGATCAAGGTTACCAGCTCTAATGGCTAACTGTTTTTTGGAAGCTAAAAATACATTTGTTTTAAATCAGAATAAGCACATTCATTTTAGGTGTTTTTCGTGTAAAAGTATAGTCATGGTAAAGTATATTTTGTTTCATTAATTGATAAAAATGGACTCGTTCGATTGTGTTAAAGGGATTGTTCAGCCTAAAATTGAACTGTTGTCATTTTCTCACCCTCATGTTGTTACAAACCTGTATGACTTTCCTTCTTCTCTGGAACACAAAACAAAAATATATTTTCAGGATTTTTGATAACCAAACAGTCTTGGTTATTGTTTTCCACTGTATGGTCAAAAAACACACAGAAACATTCAAAATATCTTCTTTTGTTTTCATTTTCAGTTTCAGTTTTGCATGTTATATTTATATTTTATTTTATTTCTGGTTTATTTCAATTAACGTAAACTATTTTTTACTTTTTTTAATGTTACATAACAATAACAAAACTTGCTGTCAGTGAATCACTGAAGGCTACATTAGAGTGAATGAAATGTTGAAATTGCATTTTTTTTGCTAAATACTTTAACTGAATAGTTAATAGAAATTGTGAAATTATGAAATATAAAAAATGTTTGATTGCTGAAAAAATATCAGAGAAGTTCACTATGGGGCATTCAGTCCCCCAAAATTTTTTTATTGGGGGCATTTTGCCACTTTCAGTGTCATTTGTGCCTTTAGCCCTTGCTATTCACAGACCCAGATGTCAGATATACTTTGTTTAATAAAATAAGGAACATGCATAGTTCCTTATTTGTCCACGTGGTACAGAGTCCTTAAAAGGCGTAGGTTTGGTCTCCAAAATAAGCTGTAGCTAGCTACTGAGAGGGCTCCCTGCCATAGCTGACGGGGGGTCACAGGGAGCAGTTTCCCTCTGCTCGCTGTTGCTCCACCATTGCCAGTAGACAGGCCTTAGTCCTCTAGAAAGCACAGCTCATACCTCATCCTGCTCGCACATGTTTCTGCAAGCGCCTGTTGCCTCTTAACCCCTCACATTACCGCTTAGCTTTAATTGCATTTCAAATAAACACAGCATTAATCCCATCCTGCAGGGAAAAAAACACAGTGGTTTTACTGTGTCACTATGCCACGGTATTTTACATGCTATTTAGAACAAAAAGGTGTTGAGATGGAGATTTTTGTCCCCTCTGCTTTTGGTTTGCACTCTTTTAGTTTGTGGGTGATTTAGTGTCATGTTCTCGTGGTGCCATGTGGCTGCTTCTCTGAATGCTTGTATGTCGTCTGCAGCAGCGCTCTGTCTGTAGCTCTCTTGATCTTTGATAAATAGTGTGTACAACAGCCTGGCGGAGGCCCAAAGAGCCGTTATGTTTCTTCTGGTCAGACAGCCCATCTATTCTATAAAAAGGATGAATGGTTTGTGTCAGCACAATCTAGAGAATCTAGTTTCAGTTTTAGTGATGAGTGGGCATAAACTTTCATGAAATTTGTTTCCGTTGTACATAGCGTTGGCTTCCTCATGTGACATTTAATTTCCTTGAACAGTTTGAAAAAAGATTCATCATATTTACAGTCCAAACAAAGCATTTTTGTCGAAATCTACCTAATTGGCTTATGCTTGGTGTTACAAATAAAAATTCACTCTTCATGCCTAGCGCTCAGCATAGCCTAATTTTCTGACCACAGTGTGAAAGATGAGCCTAACTCACTAAGCAGTAACCGCAGTACAGCCTCCTTACACTTGCTTGTGTCAGGAGCAAGGTGTTTTAAAGGGTTTCAAGTGACCATGTTTAAAATGCCTGACTTCCTTTCACAATTTGCATTCTCGTAAAGGGCTTCAGTAACCCAGAGCCCGCTCGGATTGGCCCACAGCTTTCTCATTGAGGGGGCGAAAACTCCACTCACATCCTTTTTGTCAGAAATGAAGGGTAAAACTCATTGGAATAATAAAGGGATAGTTCACTCAAAAATGAAAAGAATGACATGAGGTTGAGAAATTAATGACAGAAATTTCACTTTTGGGTGAGCTATCCCTTTAAGGTTGCATGTAATGTGACACATTGCAGGGCTGATTTAAAGGAATAGTTTACCCCATAATGAAAATTTACTCACCTTAAAGCCATCCAAGATGTAAATTGAGCTCTCATTCTGATGGCACCCATTCACTGCAGAGGATACACTGGAGAGCAAGTGATGTAATGCTACATTTCTCCAAATCTGTTCTGATGAATAAACAAACTCATTAAAATCTTGGATGGCCTGAGAGTGATTTTCAGCAAATTTTCATTTTTGGGTCAACTGTTGCTTTAAGACAGTGGTCGCCAACCCGTCGATCGCGATCGACTGGTAGATCTTTATCACTGTCCCAGTAGATCCCGAAAAAAACCCAGTAAATGCATTACATTTATGGGTTATATTAATGTATCACTGAAGGGTACTGTCTTGAGAAAAGTTTCGATGGCAATGGCATTTTCTTCTCCGTATAAAGCGCAACTCTGCTTTGTGTCAGGGATCTTGGGCCTAAAAAGGTTGGTGACCACTGCTTTAAGACAATTAGGAATCTACAAATAATCCATCAATATTGTATATTTAATTGTGCATGCTCATTTCTCATATTTTTATTTAGAATATCCTTGGTACCATCTAATGCTTACTTTAATCTTTAAAAACGAATAATTTAATGAAACATTGTTAGATATAATATTTAACAAATGGATCCATTATTCATACTGTTTATTATAATGTTGGGATGCCTATATTTATTTGTAGCATTTAAAACAATTGATTTTATTTTTATTTATCTTATCTTTATTTCATTATTTATTTATTTAGATTAAACCTAGATTACCATTACACCATTTCACCATGAAAAAAAATATTAGCATCAGTCATGAATTTTACATATCAATACATTATATAACACAATACAAGTGGAATTAGGTATACATTACTGAAAGATGGGTCTTAAATTGCAGATTTAATATGTTAGAACAAGCTAATTCTACACAAGGGAAGCTAAATAACGGACTATTGGATGTCACATGTCATGAAGATGTTGACATGCAGAACAAATGAGATATAATCACATTTCCTCAGACTAGAAAAAAAAAAACACAGACATTCTGCCTCCTATACCGTAGGTAGCACTGCATACCCATAGTGCACTGGGCTCTCAGACACACTTCAAATCCAGAAGCCTGGCATTTGACCAGCCAATAGGAAAGTCTCTTGAGACCTCAGTGCTCTTTATTCTCTGAGAGGTCACATCGCAGTGGGTCGATGCAATATCTCCTCCATGTCTTGGAAGACAACCTGTCTCCAGCTTCCTGTGAGCAAGCTCAGTTAAATTGTATGACTGACAGGTAGGGAGCCCCTAAATGTAACTTCTTTTGACTGCTTACAATGTTACTATGTATTTTCAGTGGAAATGAAGCAATCAGCTGTAACTTTCTCCGCCCCCCTAATATAATGGCAGGGGAAACACTGTACTGTACATGTACATACTGTACATTATTATTTGGTGATGCTCAAATTCACTTGTAGCATTTAAAGCAATACAGTTTTTTTTAATCTTTACCACTATTTAATTTAATCTTTAGCAAATCATATCCGTTGTTGTTATGGTAAATTATAATGTTGTGATGGCTAAATTCACTTGTAGCATTTATTAAAATGATTGACTTTAGTTCTTAGTGTTTTATTTTTAATTTATTTAGACAAAATAGCATCAAATTCTAATATCCGCCACCACTTATCAGCCACAATTTTAATTTCGATGCATCCTTACTTATTTGTACTTTTCATACACTTCATATATTTATTATTTACTGCTCTGCGGATTGTCTGTTGCTGCCGAGTGTCAAACATAACATCTTTGATCTCCCATGGTGCTTCATGCCTGTTTGATTGCTTATAATTATCCTGGTGCATGCACATCCTCAAACAAACAAATATATCACAGTAATTAAGGCCTTCTGCAGTCCTCTTGAGTTTAGTTAGCGCTATTGTTATTTATTTATTTATTTCTTAACAGAGGGAAAGAACCTATGAGTCACCAGATCTCTTTGTTGGAAAGAAAACTGTCCACAGAAGTTTTAAATTCCCACTTCTCTCAGTACAGCAGTAATTTCCGTTATTACGGTTTTATTACAAAAACGCTCTAGTGTTGTTTTAACAAGAGCAAACTGTGCAAAGCAGGAACTGATGACTGTTGAATGTAGCACATTGTTTCAGACCCTGACCGTAGCAAAGCAGAGCATTGTGCCACAGAGATATCGCCCTCTGATGAGCAGAACACATCACTCACACTGATGGCTTTCTGTACCCAGCACATCTCATCACCTCCTGTTTGTGTGCTTTGATTGGTTCAGTGTCACATAAATAATTATGTTCATCACAAAAGTGTGTGGTTGCTGTAGCTGTTAACCAGTATTTGTAGTTCTGATTGGTACATTGGTAAAGTCTTTCAAGTGTTGGAATTATGTTGCTTATTGATAGCCTGACAGGCTGTTGAGTCTTGTAGGTGGATTCTGAGTAAATATTCTTTCAAATAATTAAATTAGGGTATTTATTTTCAACATATTTGTACATTTAATTTGCTATTATTCAATTGTGTTAAATGTATATTTACATAGGCCACCTTGCTCTCAAGACATTGGTGTTTGTCACACGTTTCCATGCCCATATCGGGTGACCACTACATTTGACTCCCATTTAAAGACCTGAACCCTAAACAAGTAACCAGTAACTGAATCTCTCTCCTCTTTCTCTCTCTCTCCTTCTCTCTAGATAAACGAGTTGAGCCATGTTCAGATCCCCATCATGCTTATGCCTGATGACTTCAAAGCCTACTCGAAGATTAAGGTGGACAACCACCTTTTCAACAAGTGAGTTCTTCTCAAGGTTTTCCCCATTCTCATCTGTTATGTTCCAACATATTTTAATCTTTTAATCATATTAGAGAGGTGAATCTTATGAAACCTGTCAAGAACATGTCTGAATTATATTTAGTTTAAAAAGCAGTTCAACTTAAAGGGTTAGTTCACCCAAAAATGAAAATTAGCCCGTGTTTTACTTGCCCTCAAGTAGGGCTGGGTATCGATTCAGATGTCCCGATTCAATTCGATTTCGATTCGTGATACCCAGCCCTAGTGATTAGTGATGAACACGGAGAAAGAACAAAACAAAACGCCGGTCATGAATTAGAAGCACAAAATGAGGATTTGTAAAGAAAAATGTGGGAGGATTTCGATATAAGCCAAGAGGAGACTGGTTTTCCTTTGCTAAAATAAGGAAACTATG